CACAAAGAAGAATTGAATCTAATTGTACCCTAAAGTTCCATCCCTGACCAGACAGGTATCTCTACAAAATAGTAAAGAAACAAAACTGCCAAAGAACTCTTTTGTCACGATAATTAGGGTCAAGAGAGCCTTCTTAAACATCGAATGACACCCTCTATGATTACTACTAGTATTACGGGCTCGAGGTGAATAATAGATGGATATGCAGAGACGGATGAATAAAAACCCTCAAACTAACATGGTTGAGCAACAGGAGACAGCTATTTACAGGCATGTTTGTTGTTGCTCACTATGGGGGCAAAAGGTTGATTAATTAAAACATACAACTGGAAGAAAACATGAAGTGGTTCAGTATAGGCTTTACTTTTACTTCCACTATGGAAAGGAATCACAGATGCTAGATGGTTACTCTATATTGTTTAATATGAATGTTCAGTACAACCTAAACCACTCACTCAAACAGTCAATCCCACAGTTCTACAACGAAGGGAACAAAAGGAGATGAAAATGGTGGAGTTTTTAGGCCTTGAAATTTTTTTGTCAGGAACAATGAAGCCTAGGAATGCTGCTCACACTCCGCCTCCAGGTAATTTTTTATCCAAAACCGACTATTTGAATCTAAATAGTTAAAAGTACAAAATTCATTCTGAAGTACCTGTCTTCTAATTGAACCAGACAAACTAAAAGTCCCGGCTGCATTGTTATCGGTTGTCAACGACAGCATGACTGTACTCGTTAAACAATAGCTAGCTGTACCCTCATCTTCGAGCCTCACCTGAATTTGGGAAAGAGATGGGCAGAGTAAATGAACATGCAGAATCTAGTGTATGATCTTTACTCAATGGAAACATGGATACCTCAATAACATGAATAGCATCCCATGCTCCTTCCTGTAGAAATCCCCTTCGACCATGACCAGTCTTTGAGCCATCTATCCTCAAAAAGCATCACATGAGAAACTTTTCACTTTTATTAACGCTCACATTTAATGCATTGGTTAGTCTTACCTTTCTTTATTAAAAAACAGCCGACAAAACTTTCTTCGTCGTCTTCCCACATATACACAGACGAAATGCCACCTTCATAATACCTGACCAATCATTTGTTAAAGCAGCTGTCTTAAGAAATACATAATCACACAAGGCAATTTAGTGTTAAATTCTATGGAGCAAGTTCTATAGTTGGGTTTGGGTCTTCTATTTTTGTCTTAAGAAACAAATAATCACACAAGAAAGTGCCTCTTGATCTAAGTATACACTGGTGCAGATAGTATCTAAAATGCAAGAAGAGTATTCTATTGCACAAGGATAAAAAAGGAAGCAAGCAAAGGACCTCACTGGTCACGATAGATTGTGAATACTTCATTTGCTTCAATTTCAAGTTTCCTCATCTCTATGGATGGCATCGATCCATCTTCCAATGGTGGATGGTATTTGTTTGACCATGGTGATCTATTTGGCAAGAAAAGAATATAGCATCATGTAGTGCATATCAAAAAATCATTGACAGAAAATACTAGGAAAAAAAGGAAAAAATATATGTCACTAACCTACTTCCTAATCTACCCAACCATAGATCATGCGCCAAACTTAAATTCTTATATTTGTCAGCAAATTTAGTGTTTTCCTTTTTCCAATACTGAAATGCTGTTATACTTGTTAGCTTACATAATCGGTGGTACGATGAAAAACAATGGATTCAGAATTTTCGCCAGTGGAAGCCCTTTATAATCATGTAAGAAATGTATTCTTACAACGAAATTGGATTTACATATTGCATGCATATTCACTGGCTTTACCTATCTAGTAGATAAGTACAAACACACATGGAAATATGAAACATGCAATAGACTTGTCTTGAACTTAGGCAAGCATTTTAAGTGCTAGTCATAACTGGAACATTTTGCATCACAACCTCAAACATTAAGGCAGATATCAAAATGTCTATTAAATGACGAAACCTTGCTAAAACCATTGTGATGCATATTACTCATGCCAGATGCCCAAATCCTGCAAAAGTGGATCCAAGTACTTACCTGTATGAATCTGCATCTCTGTTGTATTCACACAAAATAAATTCCTTCCCATTATCCACATCGCATAAGGCCTGTAAATGTTGTAATTTCTCATTCAGAAAAAAATAAAAAAGTTGAATAACCAGCCAAAAAACCCCACAAAATGATGGTGCCAACTACAAAAAGGTCTCCAATCAAGTAAAATAAGTTCATTTCAACAAGTTGAAGCACTGTCAGTTGAAATGAGGGAGGGGGGAGTTCATAAAATGCACTTTATCATAGAAAACATACGCGACTAGGACAAAAGTTCATCAGAATAGTAGTGATAATCCAAGAGAGAGCCAAGAGTAACATGAAGAGGGGAAAAGGGGAAAGGAAAACAACACCTATACCTAATTATTTAAACAAAGAAGACCTTGTAATTAAGGAACCACTCTTAATTATTCAATCTTGCCCCCACCAAAGTGAGCATATTTAAGTTATAATTGGTATGTACTACCTTACTCAAGGTCAGAGATTCAAATCCCCTGCCCCATTTGTTGTACTAAAAAAGTATTCAACCTTATGAGATAACAAAGCCTCTCATTATTCCAGAATTCCATCCATAATCCTCATTACTTGATGCACTTTCCATTTAATTAGAACCAGCACAAGGATTACACCTATAGCTATGGAAGAACAGGAACATTCATCAAAATCCACTCCCTACACACCAAAAAAACCTCGGATAACAGCTAAAAGGGAAAACAAATGCTGATAATTAACAAAAAGCAACAAAATCTCTAAGAAATTTCTAAAAACCAGGCGACGAACAAGAGGAGAAAGGGGGAAACAGAAGAAACATCACCTGAAGAGGCTGGTCAACCTGAGACAGTAGATCGGAAGAGTGGTGGGGCAAGAGAGTGAGAAGAGCCGAAAGCGCTGTTTCGGAGTGCCTTGGAGGCATTCTCCTCATCAATCCCATGGCCGCTTCCATTGTTTCCTGTGTTTTTCGCCTCAAAATCAACGCAGCACCAGAAGGAGACACAATTTCTGAAAACAAGATTCAAATGAGAAGCGAAAACGAAAGGAGAAATGGAAGAGAATTCGAAAAGAAAAGTGATTTTGTTCGTTGCTTTTTGTTTGGTTGGAGGAGAAAAGGAGGAGAAAAGGAGGAGAGCCTCTGGTTTGATCCGAGCTTCCCTCGCGGGAACGAGATCTTTCTCTGTGCATCTAGAGTTCGGATAAATATATAATTTTGATAATTATTAATTATTGAGGTCATAATAATGACGTTAATAATTATTAACTGTATTCTTGTTTTAAATAACCGTGCAACTGTTTAATCTTCCCGTAAAAACAAAGTAACAAATAAGTGCCTAAATTAATAAAAAATATTGTTATTTTAGGGTAAATTTAAAAATAAAATAAAAAAAATACTTACTTTTGGATAATAACCGTTAATATATTTTGTTTTAGAGGTACAACTTCCAAAAAATACTTTAATATTCTTATTTTTTAAAAAAATTAAAAAATCTTCGAGTTCATGTGGATATTTTTAAAATTAAAAAAAAAACGAGAGGTTATTTTTGAAATAAAATATCAATACTATATCCTTCCAATTATTTTATTCTAATAATTATTTAGAAGTAAAAGTAATATTGCAACTTAAAAAAAATAATTATTATTTTGAAAGGACTTTTTTGTAATTTAGCTAGAAACAATGATTTAAAGTTCGTTGAATAATTTAGGGTGATGATTCATTTTCATATTTATGTAGTTTGGTGTTTTTGTTTCTTTTTTTTAGTTACTAAAAATAATTGGGAAGACAATAATTCAAAGTTCAACTTATTTGGGTCAAATTTATTTAAAAATAAATAAAAGATATTTATTTCAATATTGAGAAAATTAACCTAAGTTTCATCATTTATATATACTTTTAGAGAAAAGTCCATCGAAAAATGTTTGATTTTACCTATGAGAAGCTCCAAATATACACAATAATTTAAAGTCAAAAGAGTTTGAAGTGATTGGGAAGCTCGAACCCATACAAGTTTAGACATTTTCATTTTCGAAAATGAGTACAAATAGCATGAGAGCTTTTAGCCACATGGGCAAGTCCAACGAGAGAACGACCACAATGTTACACCCAAAATCGAACCATATAGAATCATTTTGAATGACCACTTATAAAGTCGACTACACTAGTCAAGGAGTGTATTAGACCTCATTCACCCACCGAGATAATAATAATAATAATTTTTAAAAAATAAAAAATTTGGCACTTTTTTTTTTTTTTTTTGGCCCTTTGCGATTTATCCAAAAATGCTTTTTTTTATGAGAGAAATTTGAGTAAATTATAATTTTAAAATAAAAACTATTTATTGTCTAGGGTGATTTTGACTTTTTTTTTTTAATTTTATTATTATTATTATATATATTTTTTTTTAATAGATGAGCTGTGGTTGCCTTCAATATACTCATTCATCCTTTCTCATCAAAGGATCAAAAAAATAAAAATAAATAAATAAATAAATAAAAGAGATGGAAGTTGCAAGTTACAGGTAACTTAAAAAATACTTCTTTCGTATTTCTATTCTCAAAATGAAAATAATAAATTATTTAAATATTAATACATAATATCATTCTATCTGCTACCAATATTGACCACAAATAAGATTAAACTGAAATCATAATCAGCTTTAAAATTCTCTTTTTTTTTTACCATAATCACTTTGTCCTTATTCTCGGCCATACCTGATTATGGTTAAATTTTAAAATATCCCGACTTCTAAAGTTTTTAACTTTATCCTAACACCTCGAGAATAGTCTTTAAAAAGACGAGAAATATTTTCCACTCTAAGAATATTATTCTTTAGATTAAATTTCAAAGTTCAAAAGTAAAAATGAAACTTTTAGAAGCCTGTAAGTATATAATTGAAATCTAATACTACCCCGAGCACACGCAATGGAGCCGTAGACAGTCAAGTAAAATCCAATCCACGAAATAAAAAACTTGGGGGTAATGTATATAATTTAACCTAGATTTTAACTGAAAAAACATAGCTTCCTCTAAAATGGTTTAAGCTTTTACATGGTTCAGGACAAAAACACACAGCACAGAACCGTCGCAAGTCATTCTCAACATTAATAAAAACCATAAAGGAGAGGGGGACAGGGCAAGTGAGAAAAATGATTTGGTCGGAGTTTATGCACCTGGATTCATGATGACGTTGGGGTGTGGTTGGGCTGTCAGCCTTTTCTTTTGACTCATCTCCCCTTCATCACCGGATGCTCATCATTGCCGCTTCTGCTCTTTTAATGTTTGGCGTTCAAACTCTGCAAAACTACAGATACGCTCATTATCTTTAAACTTACCCCCTTATTGTACACTAATTAAAATACTTCTTTGAGTTATAATAAGAAATAAACATAAATTTCAAGAACATTGAACAGTAGATTTGAGAAGTTCCTTAATTAGTATTCTAAAAGTTACGCCAAATGCAGTTTTAAAAGACTTCAGTCTCTTATGATATGGGATGAGAGCTGCTCTAAGATATAATCTTGTATCCATATAGTATCATAATTAGTCTAATAGGCTTTCATGTTCACTTGATATGTTTTTGAAAAGGAAAAAATTAGGTCTTAGAAACAGATGCTTATAGATTTATTTCTTAATTTTTTCAAAAAACACGAAAACTATGTTACCTGTGCCTATGAAGATGTATTTGATGAACTCTTTGAGGATGAGTTGAGCTTCGCACGCCGCTCTTCGTAAGAAGCTGGAAACGGAACAGCATAAACCAATACATATAAACTAACATATTGAAATAACAGAGGTAAGGGTATGATTTTAATAATATAGTTAGGGGGATGAGAAGGGGAAAAGGCAACGCTTAAGATAGAGGGATTCAATAAATCAAATAAATTAAATGAAAACCAATCCTGTAGCTAATATTTTAATTTCTTGTAACACACCAAGCACGTTACTAACAAATATTGTCTTCTTTGAGCTTTCTTTCAAAGACTTCCCTTCAAGGTTTTAAAATGCGTCTACTATGGAGAGGTTTACACACTCTTAAAAGAAATGTTTCGTTCCCCTCTCCAACCGATATGGGATCTCCAATCGATATGGGATCTCACATTTTTCGATGAGCATCTTCCTCCATGACAGCTAGATTTACTGGCCCATAAATCATTAGCAAAGAAAGAGAGATGATTCTGCTATGGACAAAACAAAAGCTCCACATTAACTAAAAACATTATGTAAATGGTTATGGACCAAATAGCTCCCACCAAATTATTAACTGACATGTACACAAGGGTCATTGGATTTGCGTTTAGCTGAAGTGCTTTTCTTTTTAACTTTGATACTAAAATAATATATTCAGTTGTTTAGTCATTGGTTATATACAGAATCACAGATAGTGTAGTACTACATGACATTATCAAATAAATAATCCCAATAGTCAGCAGTCTTTTTGTGCAGAACTTACGCTCAGTTGGTCTTGACAATAGGGGAACATGGCAAATTTTCTTCTTTATCTTTCTGTTGTCTGAAAAGCTCTCATCTGGAGAGGAGATAGAAGTTGCCACATCAGTATCATGAATCAACTGAAAAATAATGACAAAATGTATAATGGGGAAAGATTGCAATTCAAACCATTTGTGATTGGCAAACAGCTTAGAAGTGCTTCTTTGAATATTGCAGCTTGGAGCTCATATGTGCGGATTTCATTTGTTAAATGCAACTGTAGAGCTTCTCCAGCATCTAGGAGAAATGCAGGCATGGAAATCCTTTAAATATAGAACGATAATATAATGACAACGGAGGTGAAAAAGAAAATATTCAGGAGGTAGAAGTCACGTTATCTATAATCAATTAATCCCTTAATGAAGCTGAAGAAAAGTACCTGTTGAACACCTAAATTTGACACCTTCAAATTCACAAGAATGAAGAACCAGAGGATTTTCTGAAGCCATAACATATTGAGGCTTCCTTGGTGTTCTTACTGGATCCAATAGAATATCAACAACCTATAAAATTTACCAGTCCTCTTCATTTAATAGATTGAGATGCATTTTATACTTCACATAGCATAACAAAATCACACCACAGGCCAAGTAAAGCTGATAATTGGGAAACCACTGTGTACAGCGACTTTAAATGTTGAAATCTTGACATGAGTGCTAATTGTGTGACCATTAGCAAAACAACACATATTTCAAAAGAGCAACGAAGTCATGCTTAGGGTTTACCAACCAAGAAATAAGATTGATAACATCGGTGAAGGGGGGAAGTGCACATGTATTGAAAAGAAACAGTGGCTAGGAAGGTTCATTGTCAACGGCAGATGCATCTATATAAAAATAAATACGGCTATCAGTTCTGGAAAACACTAGCTCCTAGTTACCAAATTTACCATTAGTTGTTTATCTTTTATGGCCATTCCAGAGATATAATAAGCTGAAATGAGAGTGTTGAGGCCTATGAAGTATAAGATGACTACGTTTTCATGAGCAAAAGCAAGCAGTTTAACATATTAAAAGTGTTTATGCAAATATAATAAAGCAATCAGATGTCAAGACGTCTGGCACGCACATCAGGATCTTCAAGACCTTGCCCAACCATGAATACTACAGCAACCATGCATCGGACCTGATGCCAGAGGAAAGCACTGCCTTCTATGTTGAATGCCCATAATAGATTGCCTTCCATCCTGTCAGAGTACCAAAAAGATTCAGAGTCTAAAATGATTGAGAGAGAGAGAGAGATTAGTTTATTTACAAAAAAAAAAAAAAAAAGAAGAAGAAAGTAGAATGAAGTTACAAAAGATACATCCAATAGAATTCTATCATAAAACACGGGTTCTACGGTACCCCACTTCTTTCTCCCACAAGTATATTTCACATTCTTTTAATTTGCGTAGTCGTCTTAATGCATCCTAGATTTGGAATAAATAGAAATCTAACACAGCAATAACTGCAGGACGCTTAAAAAGTTAACATGATCATTCTTCTGAAGTTCAAAGCATCTTGCATAATATGAATCTACACCCGCCAAATGATAAAAACCACAGAGATGGTCAGTTTCAACATGATTATCAACAACTCAAAATGAGCATGGTCAGAAAAGCACTCTTATTCTAGTTAGTAAACTACTGGCAGCTTGGCAACACCTAGGAGAGAACATAGTTAATGAACTTAAGAGACCAAAAACAGGGAGAATAAAGTAACATAAGCTTGAAGAACAGCTAGAAGAAGGCTCTTTTGGATGGCCTGAGAAGCAAATATGCTAATCAGATTTGACAATAAAATATACAAATGCAAGGCATGTTTCAATTAAGCATCGTACTAAAAGTTGAATTGGAAAACAGATTAGAAATCTGATAACAACGCCAACCTCACATCACAAGGAGAAATGTCAAATGACATGATGCATCGCCTATAATTGTGAACATTTGCTGCATCCATTTTGCAGAAGTTTCTGAAGTCATGTTCCCCTACAAATTTCTTACCGGCACTCTCCATAGCCTGGTGGAAATGCAGATAAAAATTTTCAACCTTTTGTTGAAGCAGCATCCAAATTACTTCTGCAAAAGCATTACAAGATTCATACAAAATAATTTGCATACCGAGATGTTCAAGTTTGCTCCCCAGAATAAATATTTATATCTTCTTCTTAAACAACTAAATCTGTGCTGCATAAAGAGGCAACAAGAAATGCCAGAGTAAGCATTAATATTTTTCCTATAATATAAGCATGTATGTTAGAAACTAGAACTGGAGTCTTTCCAACAGATTAATACCTTAAAGATTCTTGCTGAAATATTATGTTGAATAGATAAGTTTTACACTAAGGGAACAAGTTCACATTATAAGTTCCTCAAAGAAGTATTGGTCATACATTGAGTATTCATGTATGGGGAGCATCATGAAGTACCCATGATTATCAAGTATAACACCTTAAAATGTAGATTTGAATACCCTTGAATTGTTTAGGTATAAATTACTGTGTGGCTTTTCCAAAACTAATTTTTAACATAATTATGAACCATAACCCCCATTGGTCCAGTCCCTTGGAAGAAAAATGTTAATCTTTAGCAAAAATGTAAGATGTGTAAACTAAATTTTAGAAAGTAACCAAAAAATTAACATGGTTCTTGGTTTCAAACCAATGCCCCAACGTAATAAAAAAAATGTCATCCCCAGACCATGATGCCATACACTGGCAAAGTTAAGCATGTCTAGAGAACTTAAGCAGCATGTAGATCCAGCTGTATCTAACAAAGAAATGAAAAAAATAACACATAAGTAAAGCTGCTTGTATGACGTAAGGGGAAACGGAGATGCTACTGGTCACTGCACTTCTTAGAGAGGCGTACAGACATTTAGAATAGCAAGACAACTCTGCAGGATTTCATGTAGGCACATAAACACAGCAGTCAAAGCCAGTTATATTGAATTTTAAATCTGTTGAATGCTAGTCTCATGAAGTTCCTAACTTCACATTAAAAATTAACACATCACATTCCTCTCAAGAAAAGGAAAATACCCAAATCTATAAAAATAAAATCACGAGCAATACAAACCTTGCACTGAAGCCAACAGGAACAGTACACCAGCCTAAAACCCGAATGTCATTGGGAAGAACTCTATTTATTACTCTCACATAATCAATTTCTCCATCTGAGAGTAAATAATAAATGGAAATGAAGTTGAGATAATGAGATGGAAAAAGTATGCAACGTTCCAATTAGAACTTAGAAAGAAAAAACTGCCCCAATTGAAAATGTTAATTAAAAAATAATAATAAGCACATAAAACTATAGATGACATCCTTTGAAAAAATAAAAGACAGGGTCGTGTCTGCAGTTCCCTGTATAAAGTATCGCTACCATCTACTTTCCTAATGCAGTGAAGAATATTGCTATATTTGATGTTTCAAACAAGAGTGCTATCCGTAACAGAAAGCAATAAGTCCGGCGCACTCCATATTATCATTCAGTTGATTAGATTCAATATTCAAGTTATTAACAACAGAGAACGACTTTGGCAACATCAACTTAGCTGACCATGGTGCTCTTTCGAATTATGATTGCCATTTTCACCATTAGGAGGATCCTTAAGGTTGGACCGTAAATAGAGAGCAATTACCTGCAGGAACAATAGTGTGATTGCTAGAAAGGGGAAATTAACTCAATTAATGATTGAAAGGTCAACAAAGTTCCCTAATTAAAAAGATGAGGAAGTCAACGTATTCAGAAAATTAGCATAAAGCTACTGTTATACAATGCTATTCTAGCTGTACAATGTTATTCTCTACAGATTTTAAATGTCTTACTTGCCCAACAGATGAGACCCCCTTGTCTGTTCTACCACATCTTGAATAACAAGACTCCTTCCTACCACCAACAAGAAGCCTGGCTTTATCAAGAGCTCTGAAAATTTCGGACTGCAGGAAGATGAGATAACAAATTAACTTCTTTTTTTGGGTACAAAATTTACAAGTAAATCTCTTCTCACCCAACATTCCTCACAACCACCAAATATACCTTCCCGTAACCTCCTCTCCCTTAAAACAAATTGATGCTCAATGTCTACACCCACCCAGACCATGGTCTTGCGCATGAAGTCATGCTCATCTATTTCCTAAAGCCTTTCAACTTTTACGTAGCATTCAAATGTTGCCAATCAACTTTGTCGAAGTCTTTTCCAGTGACAATTCCTACTCTTTTTAGTCCCCTCCCCTTTATTGGATCCATCTACATCTCAAGCCTTTTGTTTGCTTTTTGGGATCGCAAGAGAATCACAAAAGAGAGGGAAAGGTGAAAAAAGGGTGGCTGTAAGGAGCGCTTGCTAAAGGAGGGAGGTGCTACACATTTCTATAGTGAAACTCTAGTTAAATCCAAGCCTCCTGAAATCTAGGGAGTCTGGTTACCCCATAATTCATACTTAGAAATTCATGACATTTATTTCTCAAACTCATAAGAAAGCTAATGGTCAGATGAATCAGAAAGTTGATTGTGCTTTCGAGCATTCTTTATTATAATCCAAATCCATAATTAAACACAGCATCAAAATAATCTCGATGGCATTCCTTAGCAAGCAGGAAGAGAAGAATATTCATTGACAAAGAAAACCTTATATTTACTCTTGAGAATCGCACGATGCTATGGTGTGATCAAATATCAATTAGAAAAGATGGAAGGTTAAAAAAATTGATATTGGGATCCTCTAAATGCATTATTTAAATGTTAAGGCACTCCCAGTAAACATTAAGAACCAATATTGTGCGTTCTTGACACGTATCCCCCATCAGTACCACTGTAATTGATAAATCATAAATAATTTGTTCAAGTTCAATTTGAAACTGTACCTCAACTGTTGGTTCCATTTGTGCCTCTGAAGCAAAGCCATAGAACCTGAACAGATGAAGTAACCAGAGTTTCAGGCACTATCTGACATCAAGTTAAACTTTCACAGTATAACAAAAAGCCTCGACGATAGATTTCTCCATATTTCGGAGGAAGGTTTTGGAGGACTGAAATGTACGAAAATTAATGCAGGGGAAAGTAAAAGGTGCTGGTCTTGTTCCCATTATCGCTAGATTACATACCTCCGCCCAAAATACATTACTTTTAGAGCAATATATCTCTTTGAACAGTGGTCCAAGATCCTTGTGTTATAACCTTCGCCCATAAAATAACAAGCAAATCATTACAGTAGATAAACAAGGTTGATAATATGCATGAGAACTACCGTAAATTATTTCATCTAAACTTCATAAACATTCCAACGTATGTCTAAGGTTCATTATTTTACACCTTTTTCTCTGGCAGGTTGGAAAAACTATTTGGTTTATCCAGTGGCTATTTGGGGACATGCAAATTTTCAAATCCATATGCAACAGTTATTGTGAAACAGCCACATTTGAGCATTTTATTGTATGTCAATGCATAATTTGACTATAGTTCAGACTCACAAATCATCATTTCTTAATCTTGATTCTTGAATTTCACAAGAATCTCATTAATATATTTATATGAACTCCACTATTACACATTACATTCTCCTCCATTCTGCCCCCTTTGGTCGTATTTACATGTGAGTTACTACTACTACCACTCCCCCATGGCACCATTTTTTGGTGATCCTCTTATCTAAAAGAAAAAAATTGATTTGATTTTCACAACTATGGAGGAATGAGAAAATAGACTCTATTTGATCATAAAGTAACAACTAGCCTGGCGTTTTTTCTACTGCTTTCTTCTCAGTAGTCTTGTCTTTCAGACTTCCATATTTCTTGCTTTTCTCAATCGAACTACTCCCATCGTCAAAGTTCATCCTCCTCTGCACGAATTCATGTTTAGTTAGCCCTGGCGAAAATCCTACCCTAAGGTTAGCTGGGCTAGCATGACAACCAAATAGCTCTGATTTCATTCTAACATAGTCGACCAAACCTCAGAACAGTAGCAACTTGCAAGTCGAGAGGATAGATTCGAATTTTCCTCCTCTAATTCCTGACAGATTAATGGATTGAGATCGAACATCAGTCATGCCTCTACCGATACTTCTCCATTATGTCATTAATCAACCGGAAGTTGAAATGAGAGTAGACATTCAAACCTTAACCCTGCCTTGGAGAAGACGAAGCTGGGATTGAAGATTTTCAATTAGGTTTCTATCGAAGGGTTGAAACTCGTCAGTTCCTGAGGTCGTTTCCATTGCTCCCGTAGCTCCTCTGTGATCGAGGGAATGTTCCGCTCCGTCCATTAGCCCTTGTACGTCGAGAAATACAGCCCCAGAGTTCAAACGACCACTGAAAAACAAATTATAAGGCCCCAAAGTTCAGACAGAATTAGGAATTCATCGCGAGGTAAAAGAGAATTGACGCATAGAAACGACGAGAGAACACATACGAAAGCTTCTTGAAGAACAGAAAAGGCACAATGTTACAGCAATGGAAAAATTCCGCAAATCATATAACACCAGGTTGCATCAAATCATAAAAGAAACCCTAAAACCCTAGCAGAGACGTTTCTCTGAAAACTGAGATTCAGAGGTTGAAGACGAGAAGAAAGAGACGAAATAGACTATTCGGAAAACCAAGTCAGAAGGCGGGAACGTATTTATAGAGCAAGTAAACACGCCGATGTACTACTTTGCGTAGCAGACCATGTACGGTATCTTCCGTGGGCAGTACAAGCCCAAATTTTGGTTAGAATCCCAAGTTATGAACATGTCCAGAGTTGACAGTAGGACTTTCATCCAACACCTAAACTCGAATAAAGTATGTCTCTCTTTAATTGAGATTCGACTGCTTTTCTTTTGGAGTCATTTGTTCGACAGGATTCTATTGACATGACTAAGTTTAAAGCATGACTCTGATATCATGTTAGATGAACACGACTTTCTACAATAGTATGATATTATCGACTTTGAACATGTCTCGTAACTTTACTTTGGACTTCTCAAAAGAGCTCATATCAATAGAGACAGTATTCCTTAACCGACGTGAGACTTTCATCCAACAGTTTCAAAAATCGAATGTGGTATAAGTTGGAATAAATCACATGCTTATACATTTTATACCATTTATTACTAAAATCATATAAATTATTTATGTATAAAATAATTATTCATACTTTATTAATTTATGTTAATTTTAACTTTAATTGACAAAATTAATCATACATCAATATTAAATACATTAAGTGCATATAAAATAGAATCACCTATTTAATAGAAATTCCATACATTTGTAAATTAAAAAAATATATAAAATAAGTAAATAATTAATATCCAAAATAAAAATAATCGGGAGCCACAAACGTTTCCGTCTAAAAAGTGAGTACCGTCACATCTATAAAAGCGATGGTGTTCGCGTCCAAGGGGCTACAATGGCGATCTCGGCGGTAATTGGATGGCGGACTGTGTTCGTTGTCTTGGCCTGTACGATGGCTACATCTATCGCTTACACCATCGCCATCGATGGCTCTCCTTTCCGCACGGAAAATTTCTCGCGGTACTCATCTCTTTTCATCCACTGAATGCTTTTCATTTTCCGTCTTCTTCGCGTTCAATTTACAGATTCTTGCTGCTTTAGTAGTTACTCTGTTCGTGTTTCTATCGATCATTTTAGGTATTTCTATACTGTTTAATGATTCATCCCGAGTTTAAAGTACTGTCGGAATGATTTTTGGGAGAGTTCTACGGTAAATAACAGAGAATTTTATCAAATCTAAATGCCTAAACTAATACAAATACTCTTACATTTCAGAAAATATCCATAAATTTTTATAAATTTTAATAATATTTTTAATTTTTAAAAGTCTTAAAAAAATATCCTCATGAACACAATTTTAAGTAGTCTCATTAATACATTTAAAGATTTTTTACAAAGTCTGAAAGTAACCGTTGATACAATATTTAAAGAATACTCACTAAAGGTTAAAAGCATTGTTAAACGAACACGACTCTCCACAATGGTATGATATTGTCCACTTTGAGTATAAGCTCTCATGGCTTTGCTTTCGGCTTCCCAAAAGGCCACATACCAATGCAGTTAGTATAGTTAGTATTCCTCACTTATAAACTCATGATCATTCCCTAAATTAGCTATGTGGGACTTTCATCATCCAAGATCTCCCCTCGAAAAAAACACGTCTCCCCTTAATCGAGGCTTGACTTCTTTGGAGTTTTAGTCATTTTTTACTGCCTTCGTACCTTCAAGGAGGCTTGACTCCTTTTTTTCTTTTTGGAGTCCTTTGTTCGACATTCGAGGATTTGCCAATATATTGGCACGGCTAAATTTAAGGCATGACTCTGATACCATGTTAGACGAACACGACTCTCCACAATGATATGATATTGTCCACTTTGAACATAAGCTCTCATGGTTTTGCTTTGGGCTTCCCCAAAAGGCCTCATACCAATGAAGTTAGTATTCCTCACTTATAAACCCATGATCATTTTCGATGTGTGACTTTCATCATCCAACAAGCATCATTAACATGATGTGTGACTTTCATCATCCAACAAGCATCACTAACATTGTTAATCTTTATATAAAAAAAAAAAAAAAAAATTCACATTTTTTATTCTCAAAAGAAAATTGTCTACCTACTCTTTATAGATTATCTCTAAATTTTTTTATGTAACTTTTCAAAGTTTGTGTACTTTTTAGATGTGGTATGAACAGCCGCGGTATTTTTGAAATTTGTTAAAAAAAAAGTTTAAAAATGATTTTTAAGTTAAAGTTAAAAGAGTATTTTTAAATCTTAAAAGAGAATTTTTTAAAATTTTCGTGCAAACTCAACTCTATTTTTTAAACAAAACATTAATAATCGAGATGCGAAAGACGAGTATTTTTTTTTTTCAAGTTTAATAATATATTTTTTATTTTTTTAAAATTTAAAAATATTATTCAAACTTCAAAAAACTTAATAGTATTTTTTTTTAGAATTATTTTTATTAAAAAAATTATAAAAATACTTTTATTTTTGCAGACTTATCAGTTTAAAAAATGATTTTTAACTTAAATAATGTTTCTAAAATGTTTTTAAACTTTTTTAAAATAAAAAAAACTTCACTCTTTGTAGATGAACTGTTCCAAAAAAATTCAGTAGTAACATTAATACCTTTGAAGATAATCTCCAGGAGAAGATAGACGGTTTCGGTTTGATGGTAAAAACCTTTTTTTATAAAGGTTTAGTTGTTAATAGAAGTTGTTCAAGATCAATATTAGTAGTAAACTGTTTTAAAAAATTAAAAGTATTGATGAATTTTTTTTATATATAATTTAAAGGATATTTTAAAATTTTTTTTGAAAGTTTGGATCGTTTTAAAATATTATTAAAAATTAGGTGTTCGAAGAAATGTCTGGCCGTATCGTAGAAAATGACTTGTTGTCTTGGTGAGTGTGAGACGTATTTTGAGTGCTGATTACATGGACCTGTGTATATTGTTGGATGATGAAAGTCTCATATCGATTAATTTAGAGAATGATCATGAGTTTATAAGTGAGGAATACCAACTCCATTGGTATAAGGCCTTTTGGGAAGCTTAAAGTAAAGCTCAAAGTGGACAATATCATACCATTGGGGAGAGTCGTGTTCGTCTAACATATATATTATGTCATTGTTTCACCAATTTGCTATAAAATTCTCATGTTAAAATCGTGGATCCAAGTGAGCAGGGAAATTGTGTTATTTGGTATACTTGCCTTTAGTGTCGGTGAGATCCCATATTGGTTGGAGAGGGAACGAAATATTTCTTATAAGAGTGTGGAAACCTTCCCTAGTAGACATTTTAAAACCAAGCTCAAAGGGATCCATATTTGCTAGCGGTAGACTTGGACTATTACAAATGATATTAGAGCCAAACATTCCTTATAACGGTATGAAAACCTCTTCCTGAAGCCCAAAAGGGAAAGCTCAAAGAAAACAATATATGCGTGGACTTGGACGATTACAAATGGTATAAGAGCCCAACATTTTTTATAAGGATATGAAAACCATGCGTGGACTTGGACGGTTACAAATGGTATCAGAGCCAAACATGCCTTAGAAGGGTACGGAAACCTCTCTCTGTAATGGACTGTTACAAATGGTATCATAGCAGACACTGGACAATGTCTCAGCGAGGATGCTGGACCCCAAGGGGGTAAATTATGAGATCTCATATTGATTGGAAAGAGTAACAAAACATTCCTTATAAAAGTGTGGAAACTTCTCCCTAGTAGATGCGTTTTAAAACCTCGAAGGAAAGTTCGAAAGAGAAAATCTAAAGAGAACAATATCTGACTAGCGGTGAGGCTGAACTACTAGACTATCCATTCTTATTCATCATCTTTTTTTGCTTATATTTTCCCTACAAGTCTGGACTTGTTCATTTAGGTTTGTACTTGCATGTTTCAGGTTAATGGTCGCAACCATAATTGACATTATATCAGCACCGTAGCCATTGCGGTAAGGAAATATCCAGTTTGTATAATAATTTATATTTTATGAAATTTTGACTGTGCATACATTTGGTGGGTAAACACAATAATACCTGTTGGATGATGAAAGTAAGTCCCACATCAGCTAATTTAGGGAATGATCATGAGTTTATAAGTGAGGAATACTAACTCCATTGGTTGAGGCCTTTTGGGAAGCCCAAAGCAAAGCCATGAGAGCTTATGCTCAAAGTGGACAATATCATACCATTGTGGAGAGTCGTGTTCGTCTAACATGGTATCAGAGCCATGCCTAAACTTAGCCGTGCCAATAGATTGGCAAATCCTTAAATGTCGAACAAAGGACTCCAAAAGGAAGGAGTCAAGCCTCCTCAAAGGTACGAAGACAGTAAAAAATGACTAAGACTCCAAAGAAGTCGAGCCTCGATTAAGGGGAGGTGTGCTTTGTTCGAGGGGAGGTATTGGATGATGAAAGTAAGTCCTATGAGAGTTTATGCTCAAAGTGGACAATATCATACTATTGTGGAGAGTCGTGTTCGTCTAACAATATCTGGTGGTTTCACTTCATTTTATAATTTATCAGGCATGGATTTCCTATAAGGAAGCAAACTGGATTGCTTCAACAATTTGGATAGTTTTTCTTGTATGTCTTGGCAGGTAATTATTTCGTTGGCTACTTTATTTATCACATATGTTCTTTTATTGTTGGATCTAATTAAATCCTCTTCGCCTATCATTTTCCACAGCATTACTACTTGTGCCTACATTCTTTGCCAGTTGTGGCAACTATCGTCTCAGGAATCCTTTGAAGATATTATGTACCACGTTATGATCAACCATCCAAACAAACCACGTATGTGTCAATGACTTTTATAAGTCACTAATTCTTTTCCAGAGTTATCGTCAGCAGATGTCCTCTTTCGGCTTTTTCTTTAAGGCTTTCTCTCAAGATTTTAAAACGAGTTTGTTAGGGAGAGGTTTTCACACCCTTATAAAAAAATGTTTCATTCCCCTCTCTAACTTATGTGAGATCTCACAATCCACCCCCAAGGGGTCCAACGTTCTCGCTAACCGATGTGGGTTCTAATAATCCATGCTCCAAGGGGCCCAATGCCTCGCTAACCGATGTGGGATCTCACAATCTACCCCCTTTCGAAGTCTAGCGTCAAGATCCACCCCCCTTTGAGGCCAGTGTTCTTGCTAATCGATGTGGGATCTCACAATCCAACCCCCTTCGGAGTCCAACGAACGTTATCGCTAACACTTGTTCCCCTCTTCAATCAATGTGGGATCTCACGATCTGCCCTCTCGAGGCTCAACGTCTTCGTTGGTACACACCACAGTGTCTGGCTCTGATACCATTTGTAAAAATCCAAAGCTCCAAGCCTACCGCTAGCAAATATTATCCTTTGTAAGTTTTTCCTTTCGAGCTTCTACTCAAGGTTAAGTAGAGGTTTTTGCACCCTTATAAAGAAAGTTTCGTTCCCCTCTCTCATCGATACAGGATCTCACAATCCACTCCTTTCAAGACCCAACATCCTTACTAACCGATATGAGATCTCACATAACTTTGACAGTGTGTCTAATTTCCATTAACAAATAAAATAAAAACATTTTTAACAATTGAGTGGAAGGAAGGATAGATGTGATTTTGTTGAGTTTGAGAAACTTTATTATTTTGATCCTTTTCTTAAACACAATTTTGGAAGGAGATTTTTACGCCGTAATTTCTCTTTCAACTCGTTCTTAATTTTACTGTTCATCAAGTGTTCATGCTTTCAAATGATGTTTTCTCTTTTAACCCATTTGCAGTTGGATGGTAACAACACTCATCGATTTCTTCACACATGCCACTGTTTTGTCGGTAAGGTTTAAATTCCTACCATTGCGGAGATCTGTTTTCCTATAAAGTGGTATTAGAGTTATGTCAACTTCAAAGGTGTAATTAAAAGTGACTTAGGTTATTGCCAGTTAGTATCTAATTAAATCTCCGTTAAGAGTTAGATTTAGTTTTTGATTTGATTTTGTTTTGACGGGTCTGTTACCAGATTTTCCTTCAGATTTTTAGATAGATTTTCTAAATATCTTTTTGTATTCTCTTCTATATATATAGCATTCTTTCATTAACAGTATCGAACAAAGAAGTTGTGATACTCGAAAGTGTAGTCACATCTCTCAAGCTTCGAACATGTGAGCCTCAAAGGTGTAGTCACAGTGACTCAGGTATCGAACAAAGAAGTTGTGAGCCTCAAATGTGTAGTCAAAGTAAAAACCCACGATAAAGTTCCATTAGACTAGTAATAGTACTCTAGAGAAGAAGACTCATTTAGATAGTGCTAGACGAATAGAGATGATTGAGACTTGCAATGTGCTCCAAAAAAGAGACGACTGTCGTCTAGATAATGCTAGACAGATAGATACGACTGTTTATGAGGATAGACTTAGCTTCTTGATAGTTTTTCTCGTTCTTTTCTTTTCACGACTCCGTTAATCATCGGAAAGTTGAATAAACGTTCTTTGCTTTTCCATGTAAACTCAGATCTGGATGTTCTATAAAGAAGAATCATGGCTTACTGCAATTTTTTGGATAGTTCTGGTACAGACTCTTGGGAGGTAATCTTTATGTATATCTATATCTATATCTATATATATATATATCTAATAACAATGGATTATCCTCTAAATATTTCAGCACCTCTACATGTCCCTTCATTGTTAAGGAATTGTTCAAGCTCAACTCCGAGGATCCAGCCCACCTCATTTTGTTGAAAGCTTCCCACAGGCAAGTCCACTCTTCTTATATTAGGCCTAATAAGGCTATAAAATATTTATTTATTTTAATATATACGTCTTTTTTTTTAAAAAAAAAGAATTAAAATATTTTAATATGAATTTATGGTTAAAAGTTTGATGGAAAAAATGAGATAAAATTGAAAATGAATGACCAAAATTAGAACAAAAACCCTAACATAAATATGAGAAAACAATGAACGGAAACATATTTAAATTTTCATTTCAATTATCGTAGATGATTGACTTGTTTAAGATTAGTTCGATTGACCCGCATCTTAATTTATGGCAGGTTGGGTTATGAACAAATTATTTGACGAGATCATTGTGATTCGGCTGCCTTGCCTTTTAATATCTGTTTTGTTTAATTAAATCTAAAAGTATGTATATTTTGTGCATTCTATAATATTATATGTCATAGTGAAGTTAGAGTTAGATATCTTATATAATCATACTTTAAATTTTAATTTTATACTATTTAATTTTAACTATTAAAATTTGAAATTTGTTTCTAAACTTATTGGAATTTTTTTTTTTTTTTTTGTATTATTTATATATTATTTATGTAAACAAGATTAAACATATAGAAATTAAATTTAGAGGATTAGAAATAAAAATATTCTACACGTAAATTTAATTAGATTTTTAAAAAATAAACGGTTGAAAGATTAATATAAGTAAATTTAACATTTTTAGTAGTTGCATTCCTGTCCAAATAAATGAAATGGATGAAAAGAAGCCACGTGGACACGCAGTTTCCACTAACTTCCGTCTTCTTCAACTCCCGCGGTTGCTCTCGTTCTTCTACTTCCCGCGCTCTCTGTATCACTGCGTCTCTAATGGCGAGCTCGGCGGTAATCGGATGGAGGATTCTGTTCATTCTACTGGGCTGCACGATGGTTGCAACTCTCGGATACACACTCGCCACTGATGGCTCTCCTTTCCGCAGAGAACTTCTCTCACGGTACTCTCTGTTCTACGATATACGTTTTTCACTTTATTGATTGTCAATCCGTGTCCTTCTTCGTCTTGATACCTGTCCGCCTTCGCCCCTCCCCCCTTCAACATACAGAATTGAACTGCTTCAGCTGCTTGTTTCACGTATTTAGCGATCGCTTGTGTATATTTCAGTTTGAATGTGCATCGACGGCTTCTTTATGCGGTCTAAGTAATACAGTGGTTAAAGGAGTAACTATATTGACTATAAAGCGGGTGAAAATGCCAGAAATCTATAGGTCGAGTGATATTGGGAATGGTCGGTAGTGTTAATAAGATTATAGGTTGCTTGTTTCACTACGAATTGATTTTGAGATAATTTTGAGATGGAACCATGTTTGTAGAATAGGCGGGTATACTGAATTACAAATAATTTATGCTAAAGTAGAACACTTAGATTTGTTCATGAAATTAAGGGCTGTTTGGGTGTATTTTTCTAAAATTATTTTGTTGATCGGTTTTTGGAGTTGTTTGTTCTATTTTAGTCGCTCACAAATGTTCAAATTTAGTCTCCTTAAACATCTAAATTTAGCCTCGTACTTCAATAATTATTACGTTTAGTTTCTTGTTCAATTTTTAGGAAACTCAGTCTTGATGATTTTGAAAATATATATTCACACTGTGTGATCTTATCTTATATGAAAACGTATTAATTTTGATGACAATTAACTTGAAACTAATAATAAGAACGAATCATTAATTTTAGACAGCACAAAGCCTTAGTTTAAAGGTTTGATAGCGCATAGACTATAATGATATTATTCTTAAAATATAGGGTTCAAAATGATATTTCAAATTTTATTTTCCTCCAAGCATCCACAATATGCTTTTTTTGTCACTGAATTTGTGAACTATCCAGATTGGATTTTCATTGAATCTTCATGTATTCAACATAAATTTGGCCACCGGTTTCATATTTGCTAAGTGGTCATGACACCTATATTATTTTTTGGATTAAAGGTTCGAAATTTCACTTCACATTAATTGCATTTTTTTTGTTACTTGGAAGAAAATGATCAAGTTAAAATATTCAGTATGTACTGAGAAGAAGATTTGAATCTTGCCTTTATTCTTGTGCAATCCTCAACATGGGATTAATATTGAAGCTTAATTTTATTTTCCATAATAAATCTTGTTATAATTATATGTTAGATGGTTCTGACTCCTGGAAATGGGTGCTGTTTTCTCACCTTCTTAACTATTAATTTTTCTCTATCTTATTATTCCTACAAATCTGGACCTTTTCAGTTACGTTTGTACTAAATATGTTTCAGGTTAATGGTGGTGGTATTGATTGATTTCTATTTCAACGTCATAGTTATTGCGGTATGGAACAATTAGTTTTCTTACTGTTTTCTATTTTTCAAAATTTTGACTTTGCGTACATTTAGTTGTTTCTATAGCTTAACCTCTTATGTGGTGAATGGAGCTGCTAGACCATTTGGGTAGGGGCAAAAAGTCCTGTTTATTTCACTTAATTGTATATCGATGTGAAGATTATGAGTTTTGATAAGAAACCCGTAACAATTTGAAGCGAACACTCTAGAACCCCAAAGCCAATTTAGTTTCAATCTCAAGGGAAGTGATAGATATGGATTACCTCGACAATCAAGATCCAAGATGGAGTAGATGGGCGAAACCAGCTTGAATGTTCTAGCCATGCAATTTCTAAGGACAAGAAGTTGTGCCAATCTCAAGGAAAAAGAAAGAAGTTGTGTTTGTATCAAGTCTGATGAATGTCAACAATGAGAAACCTTGATTAATCTAACCCGACCGAAACCATGTTATGCTTTTGGACCATACATATGTAACTCTAGATGAAACTCTAAGCTAAATATTGAATAAACTGAATTTTAAGGCCACATGCTAGGTCAAAGTAAGGCTGTCCTTATTCTAACATGATCTAGAGGGGTAAAATTAGATGAATACAAAATATCATGAACGATTCATAAATTGTAGAATTAATCTTACATATGTGGTTAAGCACTCACGGTAATCTCTCTCTCGCTCTCTCTAATATATTAGGCATGGGTTTGCTACAAGGAATCAAACTGGATTGCTGCAGCGGTTTGGATAGTTTTTCTTGTATGTCTAGGCAGGTAATTACTTCGCATCCTTGTCAAGCTCACCTTCCAGCCTAAAGCTTGTTTAACCATAGGATATATTAGTGTTTATAGCACTGATGAGTTCTTTTGAATCAAATTTTCTTGTTGGAGTTTGGTAGATATATTTTGACGCTTGATAATACTATTTTTATTTATTTCCATTCACGAACAGGGGAAATATCCAACGTTTTTAATGCCTTTTTCAATTTTCAGATGATTATAAGTATTTTACTTGCCCTTTTCAACTATACTTTTAGAGTCTGATTCAGTTCATTATTTCTTGCATATTTTTTTCAAAGCATATTTTTTTCAAAGCTGATTCTTGGATAACTTTATTGTTAAAGTTTTTATAGGAACTTTGATTTCCAAACTCTTACTTGTTACTAAGATCGAATTTGTTTCTGCATCATCTANTTTATTTCAATTTGAAGTTGTTGTTTTTTTTTTTTTTTTTTTTTTTTTTTTTTTTTTTGATTGGTAATCCTTGCAGATTGAATCTTCATTTTATTTAGTTTTAGATCTGATTAACTTTTCTACCTCTATCATTTTCCTCAGCATCGCTACCTGTGCCTACATTCTTTGGCAGTTGTGGCAATTATCATCTCAGGAATCATTTGAAGATATTGTGTACAATGTTCTGATCAAGAATCCAAACAAGTGTGTATGCAGTAAGCCTAGTTTAGTATGTACTGTGAGTCTTATGTCTCTTATATGGTTAATTCCATCAGAAGCTTCCTTCATATGTTCTATTTGGAATTCTTTTTACGTTCTTCCTGACTATTCTACTGCATAGTTAAAGTCCATTCTTTTTCTTTTCTCATGTGTTTAAGAAATTAAATGAAATGAAAGAAGCTTTTTCTTTCTTTCAATTCACTCAGTTAATAGATAAATTCAGCATCCGATGCTATGGTTATTCTTTCTTCTAGACTTTGAGAAACTTTATCATTCTGTTTCCTATTCTTTATCATGATTTTCTTGTTGGCTTATATATATAGGAATGACATGCAGCAGCATAAGAAGCACTCCAATATTTTGACTGCAAAAATAGTTTTCGGTGCATTGGGTTGTTCGATGGTGGTAGCGTTGGTCTTTCTTTTCAGCGAGGGTTCACCTTTTCGCAAGGAGCTTTATACACCGTAATTTCTGCTTTTATTTCTTCCTTAATTTGATTGCCCTTTTAAGTGCTAGTGCTTTGAAATGATGTTTTCTCGTTATAGGGAAAAGAAAAAAAAAAAAAAAAAAAAAAAAAAAACAATGGTGTTGATATCTAAACCTTGGAAAGTGAAGTAATTTACTGTTCATGTTCTTACATAATGGTAATTGCACTTTTTTGTTAGTGTGATATACAACAACCAGGAGTTGATTAGTGAAAACAAGGTGTTTATGACTTTTCCTTGACTTGTTGGATACTAGGAAGGTTCATTGATCACCATTGACTATGCAATTTCTGGATTTTGCTTTGAACAGATTTTGCATAAATCATTACACTTTTTCCTGTTATTGATATAATAACCTCTTTGACCGATATTATGGAGTAATTATCTTGTTATAGAGGTTAACAAGCTGTTAGAACATTTGCAGCTGGATGGTGGCCACGCTGATCGATTTCTATATAAATGGCACAGCTTTATCGGTATGTCTTAAATTCCTCATATTTCACACTTGTCGCCTCTAGATGGTTAGATGCACCACCTTTTTGGTAGGAGGCACGCACTCGATAAGTTTCATTCTTCATGCATCTCTTTGTGATGATGAACTTTTAAGGGGCAACATGATGAATTTAGTAGCAATCTAAGATTGTTCTACTACCCACAATTAAAGCTGAAGAAGCTATAGTAGGCGAACTTTTTCTTGAGGAATTTTCTCCCCCGGAGGGTTTATTAGTGAATGTAATAGCAAGATTATATCTCTAAAGGGTCAAAGGGCATAATTTACACCAAGATAGGCCAATAAAAATTATAGTGTCATGATGGATATCTTTGGCTATTCTATATCATTGAAGAATCTATTGTTTCTTTCTAACTAAAGATGCCAAAGAACAGATCTAATGAATTAAAGTCGAACCATATAACCTTTTCCGTTATTGAAAGGAAAAGAAACGATTGTTCCCTGTTAACAAAGCCTCTAGTTTGAACTATTGAAGCTAACCCTAACATTCAGAATTCAGAAGAAGCTTCGCTTCTTGATAGTTGTTTTCATGACTTCATTGGTCATCTAAAAGCCGAATAACGTTTTTCGTCTTTCCATATGAAATTAGGTCTGGATGTTCTATAAAGAAGAATCCTGGCTTACTGCACTCTTGTGGATAGCTCTATTCATAATCTTTGGGAGGTAACGTGTCACTTTTTGTTGGAAAAGTCGCATATCTGTCTTTATTATTGCATTTGGAACCTGCCATTGGTCAAGGAAATAGTGATACATTCTTTCTCCACGGTCGATCATTTTAAGTTCATTTCTCAGCTCTCTCTCTCTCTATATATATATTACACACACACACACACACATATACACATCAGTGCATTCTTACGTTCATTAATATTAAGATGCTCAAGAAGACCTTGACGCTTTGAAGGATGTAGAGAAAATGTGTTTCTAATCAATTGAATTGTTAGGAAGGGATAAAGGTTCTAGCCGGAGGGATACACATTGTGTTAATGCTGTATTTGTCTGTCCACATGGGCCTTGGTGAATAGTCTTGTATTTTCAATGAATCCTAAAATTGTTCGGGGTTTGTTAGTTTATTGTGTTAATGACTGTATTTATCATATCTCCTAATATACTTTATTTGTCAAAAGAAAAAGGTAGAAATTTTTTATGTATGCATTTTAGGGATCTTAGTTTGATAAGTTATAATCAAAGTTATACTCACTTGGGCTTATCTATCTGTTCTGACAGTGTAATCCTTCTAATATTTCAGCGCCTCTTTATGTCCTTTCATTGTTAAGGAGCTATTCAAGCTCAACTCCGAAGATCCAGCATACCTTGTTTTATTCAAAAATTCCAACAGGCAAGTCCACTCTTCTTGTTATATTTATTTGTTTTTTGTTTTTTAAACTAAGCTATAGACACTACTCTCACCAATAAGCTTCCCTTAACCAAGTTTTGAAAACTAAAAATTTGACTAAGAATTTGAATTCGAATTTTCTTTAAGAAAAAATGAAAATTATGATAAACAAGCATAAATTTAAAAAACATAACGGAAAACAAAGTCGTTATCAGAAAGGCAACAAACCTAAGCTGTAGTTTGATTTATCTAATTTTATGAATGTGAACTCTTGCCGGCACACTACAGTTTATAACATTTTGAACAACAAAAAGAAATTTCATCACTACTTTGAATTGGGTTGGGTCGAGTTCACTCGTTTGTGAATATTTTAATATTTTAAAAAGAATGTAAGACTAGAATATTGAAAGGAAAGTATGTTGGGAGTGGTGCTCGGCAGGCTCTTACCATGGTTCATTCCGTTGTTTTAACTACTTCAAACTATTTCTATATAACAATTACCATTTTGATTCTGTTTAGGAAATGATGATAATGGTTGTCCTCTATGTAGCCTTTTGGGTTAGTAAAGGTAAGTAAAAACTTACCGTGGCTTCTTACTTGCATCTTGTAATTTGTTTATGGTAGGTCAGAAAGAAGATATGAGAGAATGTCATGCTCATAAGCAGAAGTTAGATGATTTAAACTCGATTTGGTACGTATCGAAGATGTTACATTAAGAGCAGAATCCATAAGATATCATGATATTTGAAGGGTAATTTAGTCCAAATGCTACTATGTTTATATTTAGTCTCTAGGATTAATACTATTATTGAAATGCTACTATAACAAATTTGGTCTAGTTAAATTGACATAAATAACAAATTGTAGGCTTTATTTTTCGAGTTTAAATAATTTGCTCATAAACTAATTAAAATTTAAAAAATGACAAGCAAATTTGTCTAAAATCTTATTTAATTCGCAGTTTTTTTTACTAAATAAAATTATAAAGGGTTTTTTTTTTTTAAAACTCTCAATTTTTTTTCTTATATTAAATACTTTAAACTAATTTACAATTATATTCTTAATAATAATATTTTAAGCAATTTACAATTATTTAATCTCTCTATTCATTGAATATTCAATTCAAAATGACATTACGGACGAAAGAAACCGAAGACTTCCATTGCAAGTCCTATCTAAATTCACAGTAGTAAGGCGGATTAGATATATCTTTAGTTCCTATATAACTAGTTAATATCTAATATTACATGTACATGTGTTTCTTCCCTAACGTAAACCAATTATTCATATGTTGGATTTCATCGAATTCTAGTTCTAGAATCATTCTTCGAAGCATCCACAATGGTTGTCTTATAGTAATTCGATTCAATACATCTAGTAGACTCCACCCTAGTTCGGTTTTGAATTAGAGACATTCAAAATGATGAATCAACGTCGATTATAACCCCTAGCCTTCCAAACTAATGATGCGGGTTCGATTCCCGCTATCCGCTTATCTTATTCTTATTATATATTATAAATATAATAAATTATTCATTAATTAATTGAAAATTTTCAATTAATTAAAAATTAAAATGGAATTATTTGATAATAAATAATGAAAAGGTGTGAATAGATAGATGAGAACTTATATTCATATATATATTCTTGCTTTAACATTTTGAAAAAAAATTAAATAATTAAAAAATTAAAAACCCATGTATTTTTATTTAAACATTTCATATTTTTATCAATCACATCATTACCACATAAGTTAAAAAAATTGGAGCGACTCTAATTAAATCAATTTTATTATTAGATTAAATTACGCCTCTAAAATTAACCAACTACTTCCAAAAATAAAAATCCATATTTAAAATAAAAGTTAAAAATGAGTGTTTTATTTTTGTAAATACAAATAATTATTGTTATTATTATTGTGTAACATTTTAAAATAATTAGTGAATGAATTGTTATTTAAAAATTTTAATTAAAAAAATGAAAATGAAAATGAACAATTTTAGGGAAAAAAAAAATTACGATCAGCCCTAAAAAAAAAGGCAACAAATTTAAATTTTAAAAAGTATTTTGATAATTAAAATTTAAAATTCATATTTTTATTATTTAAATAATTATATTGGTTGTTGAGTTTTTTTTTATAATTAACTCTGAATTTTTTTTTCTTGTTTTAAATACTTTAAACTAATTTACAATTATCATTCTTAAATGATATTTTAAAAAATTATTTAAATTTAATATATATATTAAAGATATGTTATATATTGGTAAACTATTTTTTAAAATAAATTATATAAATAAAAATAAAGTTAAATAGTTTGATTCAATAATGTTACTTTAACTCATTCAAATAATAAAATTAACTATTTTAAAAAAGAAAATATAAGATCCAAAATTTAAACTAAAAAATATTAAATTATAAATGAATAAAAAGCTTGAAATAAACAAAAAAATTATTTATTTTTTAAAATTCAAAACACAAAATTTAAAATTACTTTACAATTCAATTAATTTTAAAAGATTTCGAATTTTTTTACAAATTTCAATTAGTTTTAAATTTTTTTTGAATTGGTCAGAGACTTCTATTAATTTTAATATAAAATTGTAATTATTATGTATACAAATAAAAATATAAATGTGTTTTTTTAAAAATTAACTCTTAATTTTTTTTTTCTTGTTTTAAATACTTTAAACTAATTTACAATTATTTTTTAATAACAATATTTTAAAAAGTTAAAATATTATTATTTAATAAAACTAATTAATATGTAAGTAAGAAATTATATCCAAATTCTTAAGAAAAAACAATTTAAGTTTTCAAAATATTATAATTTGAATATTTTAATTCAACAATACTATAATCCAATAATCAAATTAAAAAAAATACAAAATCCAAAATTTAAACTAAAAATATTAAATATTTTTAAATAGAAACACAAAATTTAAAATTGTTTTAAAAAGATTCTGAATTTATTAAGGATTTTTATTAATTTTTAAAGATTTAGAATTGGTTAAGATTTGAAATTCAAATTAGAGATTTATTAGATAATTAAATTAGTTAAGATTTGAGAAAATAAAAAATTGAATTTAAAATATTAGATATAATAGATATTTTATTTGACTTAGTTAAAATAGGATGATAGAATATTTAAAAGACCGAAAACCCCTCAACAACGTGATAAAAGATACGGCTACGATGACACGTAGTTGGGCTCTCCTAAACGCACCGTTTCGAAACCTCCCGCTTCTTTCTTCCTATAAATACGTTAGTTACGTTCGAATTCACTACACACTTCTTGCTGTTAGTGTTAGAGGAACTGAAGAAGAAAAGTAGAAAAAGAAAAGTAGAAAAGAGGAAGAGAGGGAGGGAAAACCCAAAAATAAGGCTTCGATTTTCCATCTTAGAGGGTATAAATAGTGTTCTTGTGGTCTTCTTCGCCTGTTCGATCTCAGTCGGTAATCTGCCTTCTACTTTTAGTCTTTTAGGCAACTATCTTATCTTCTTTTCGCTGGTTTTTTTTGGTTCTGAGACGGTATGGCGGCTATGATTCCGGCACCAGTGATTTCTGCTCCGATTCAAACGGCGGTCATTCCTCCTCCGGTGGGCTCTGTGGCCCCTGGAGAAGTGTTTTTAAGTTCTTCATTGTATGTGGGCGATCTGGAGAATAACGTGAACGAGGCACAGCTTTTGGAACTGTTTAGCCGTGTGGCTCAGGTTGTCTCCATTAGGGTTTGCAGGGATCAGACACGCAGGCTATCGCTTGGATATGCTTATGTTAATTTTAGCAATCATCAAGAAGGTTCGTTATTCCGTTCTTTTTCGTTCATAGTGTTTATTTGTGTTTTTTTCTCTGTTTTTTTTTTATAATACGCTTTGATTTTGGTACTTTTGTGTTTTCTTTTCTTTTCTTTTTTTTTTTTCTCTGAGTCTGCTTAGACAATTGCATTTGAGAAATGAAAATTGAAAATTATTTTATTCTCATTCAATTTTAAATACTTTTTAATTTTTTTTTGTTAATTGCTGATAATTTGCACACAACCAAACGTGAACAGAAAGCTATCTTTCAGATGATTCGTTCAAGTTTCATATGATCTTATTAGATAATTAATGGGGAATAGTTTGTTTTCGATTTCAGTTTGGAAGAATTTAACATTAAAAAAGAATTTCATAGAAATAGTTTCAACCGGACCAAAATCAATTAAAGAAACAAGGAACTGTTGTATTTCTTCAACTTTTGGATATACGTTTTTAAACGATCTTTTGATACAAACTTATATATTGAATCTCTTCTTGTTTCATTTCATAAATTCTCAGCTATCGCTGCCATGGAACACTTGAATTTCACCTCTCTTAACGGGAAGCCTATCAGGATTATGATCTCTAATCGAGATCCTAGCATTCGGAAAAGTGGCTATGCAAATGTTTTTATCAAAAATCTGGACGTATCAATTGATAACAAAGCATTGCATGATACATTTGCTTCTTTCGGTACTGTTCTTTCTTGTAAAGTTGCGGTTGATAGCAATGGTCAATCAAAAGGTTATGGATTTGTGCAATTTGTTACCAAGGAAGCAGCCGAAAGTGCCATACTAAAGTTGAATGGCATGCTCCTCAATGACAAGCAAGTATATGTTGGCCAATTCATTCGACGCCAGGAAAGGATGCGAGCAAATGGATTACTATTTACTAATGTTTACGTAAAAAATTTACCAGAAAATATGACGGAAGATGGCCTAAAAAATCTGTTTGGTGTACATGGTACCATTACTAGTGTAATTGTTAGGACCGATTCAAATGGAAAGTCCAAAGGTTTTGGTTTTGTGAACTTTGAGAACGCAGCCTCTGCTGCTGATGCAGTTGAAAAGCTGAATGGTACCCTCATTGGTGAGGACAAGATTTTGTACGTAGGCAAGGCTCAAAGGAAAGCAGAAAGGGAGGCTGAATTGAAAGAAAAATTCGAACGGGATAGAAAGATTAGATTTGATAAATTACAAGGCGCAAATTTGTACATCAAAAATCTTGATGACCATATTGATGATGAGAAGCTTAAAGAATTATTCTCTGAGTATGGAACAATCACATCATGCAAGGTTCGTATCGTTTTTCTTTTGGCGATCTTCGTTGTGTCTTCTTCTAAATTCCATTGTTAATTTTTGCTTAGATATCTGTTTGATGATGAGCCAGGTTATGCTTGACGAAAATGGAGTGAGCAAGGGGACTGGTTTTGTTGCCTTTTCTTCACCAGATGATGCAGCTAGAGCCGTAATTTTTCATTCCTTTTTGATTCACTTATGGGTTCTATTTTCCGAATATGAAGGGAAATTGGAACTTATTTTTATGTCTCTTTTAATGTGTTTTTTAGATAAATGAAATGAATAGAAAGATGAAAGGAAGGAAGCCTCTGTATGTGGCTGTTGCCCAGCGCAAGGAAGAAAGAAAGGCCCAGCTACAGGTGTGATTCGTCTTCTTTTGGAATGCTACATAACAGTTATATAGTTCTTGTAAATGGTTCTCATGTCTTGTTATTGTAAATCCACAGATTCAATGAGAGGTTTTATGTATATTTGAGGTTTCTTAAGAAATCAATTGAATTTTGATTGGTTGCTGGATTCTTCTTTGTGTCTAGACACAGTTTGCTCATATCCGAGTAGCTAGTGAAATATCATCACTGACCTCGGGAATGCCCGGATTTCATCCAGGGGCACCCCGACTTGCTCCTCAGCAGCTGTATTATGGTCAGGAAAACCCCGGCCTGGTGCCCCCACCTCCTGGATACAGCTTCCAGCCTCAACTTATGAGCGGAATGCGACCTAGTATGGGCCCCAACTTCATCATGCCTTACCAGTTTCAGAGACAAGTACAGCATGGGCCACGCTCGGGGATCAGGCGTGGTGGAAATACACAACCTGTACATCAGCAGCAGGTAAACTGAATTACGTTGTTAAGATCATCAATCTACTCGCTATTTCAATGTTTGTGCCACACATAATACATAATCATCGATCATCGATCTACTCGCTATCTGAGGTTAGTAAATTTGTCGTCTCATTTTTTGAATCCAGTTAATGCTCCGTGGCGCTGGACAAGGTTATAGATACATGAACAATGCAAGAAATGGATTAGAGCCGCTGGTCCTCCCCCAAGGTCTTGTTGGTCAAATGATGCCTCTAGGTTTTGATAATTCTGGGATGTCTAGCCCACCAATCGACATCCAGCGATCAAGGGCTGTGCCTACTTCAACACTCGCATCTGCATTAGCTTCTGCTACACCTACACATCAGCGTTTGGTATGGCACCATGTTTGTTTCCTTTGATTAGAGAATAAAAGTGAAACCATATTTGTAAGATTAACTATAGCTTCTGCATTATTGTTACAGATGCTCGGCGAGCAGCTGTATCCACTCGTAGAACGTCTCGAGCTAACTCATGCGGCAAAGGTTACTGGAATGTTGCTCGAGATGGACCAGCCAGAGGTGCTTCATCTCATTGAATCACCTGATGACTTGAAGAGTAAGGTGGCTGAGGCAATGGAAGTCCTCCGCAAAGCTTCGTCGGAACCCGACCTCTCTGATCAGCTTGGTTCGTTGGTGCTGACCAAATGAACGACGACGACAACCAAAAACGAGAGTGTCGGTTCTCAGACATTCAATTTCCCTTAGAACATTCTTTATTCCGCATGGTGAATATATTATTTATGGTTTTGGGTTTTAGCCTTCTCTTTTCCTAAAGCATCCTTCAAATTAGCTCCCTAGGATTTTTTTTTTTTTTTTTTTTTTTT